ATTTTTGAGGAAAATTGCAAGATGCCTGTTGAAAAGCATACACGTGTGCGCAATAAAACGACAAATAATGTATTCCACGTTTGTTGTCAGGTACTCAGACAGTTGTTAGTATAAATAATATCTCACTTAAATTTAAAATTGTGATACGATAAGTACCCAGTTTTATAGCAAAATACATTTCGTTTCTATATCGATAGCTACAAAAATGACAATGCAATTGGAATATGCAACTCCCGGGAGGCTCTACCTTACTGGACAATGGTGCTGATTTCCGTCATAAAGTCTTAAGCCGTCCCTTTTCTTTGTGGCCCTATAGATCAGTACATGCCCTTATGTAACCATGCTACCACCATTGGATTACTGGAGAGCATCCAAACGAACACAATGCCATATTCTTGGTCCAAATAACATGTTAGACCTGAAAAGATCTAACGTTTTTTAACTAATCTAATAGAATAATAGGAAGTAGGTAAATTAAGTAAAATATGTGTTAGATATGTATGGCACTAAGTATGCAGTCCCTGGAAAAATATTAAACTTGACATAGTAGGCATGCAGTTGGCATGTGGTGGGCATGCAGTGGGCATGTAGTGGGCATGCATATCCTTAGACCTTTTTTTTGGACAAGTTTCATTTTCTATACTTTAAAATGACTTTGCAGACAACGTCAACAGGTTCTACTCTAAAGTTTGCAATTCTGTCCTTTCACTCAGTACCATACACCAATGTTTATAAACAATTACTGACAGCTTTACAAGCAGATATGAGTTACCACTTCCTAAGATCCTGAATTAACTATTTGGATCCATCATAGGTGATATAAATGACCAAAAGGCACGATACCAACATGCGAGGTTTCCTCATGTGTTTTATATAAAGATCTCATTTCGACATTAAAGGATATTTACTCGGACAGAATTTGACAAATATCCATTATTGCAGCTTTAGTGTAAGAAAATCTGCATAGAAATATTATTTAATGTCAGTGACTACACTCCTGGTTAGTAAACACGTGTGTGTGTGTGTGTGTGTGTGTGTGTGTGTGTGGAGAGAGAGAGAGAGAGAGAGAGAGAGAGAGAGAGAGAGAGAGAGAGAGAGAGAGAGAGAGAGAAACTTACCCTTTTTGTGGCCTCGTAACTGTCATATTTCGACATGATTGACTTAATATCGATGTTAAGATCAGCGATATCAGTGATGTCATGGCAAGATTTATAACAAGTTCTAAATTAAGACTCGATGATTTATTATACATAACTATACAGATTTGGGGAAAACTACATGCCTACCAAAGCGTGTAGAAAATTTCTGAAAGTATAAATCTTAATGTCGTCACTTATTTAAAAAAAAAAGAATCTTGCACAATGTATTATTGCGTGAGAAGGACGATGGCAGCCGTCAGATTAATTTGATTATTTTTGGATTCTGTGCTGGACGGGCATTATGTTAGAACACGGCGTTGTGGGACAGGCTAGCATGATTTTAAAAAGATAATCGTAGAAAAATCTTGCTTTTTAACTTAATGATCCATTCTATACAAGTTTGAAAGTTGATGCAAGTTTATGGTTATAACACTTTGTTTTAACAGCAAGTGGCTCTGTAACTGAGTGGTATACTCTGTACCACCGTTAAAGAGTTACCTTATAAATGACCAATACGGCGATTGGATCTGAACGTTATCTGGTATTTTTCCTTTCGTGAATGAGACATGTGTGTACTCTTCCACTGACCCATTTTAAATTTCACCATGCTCTAACCCTCCGCCTATTCATTCTAACTGTTATCTTAACATTTCTGTTTTATTCTTTCAAGCGAAAGTTGCCTCAACTGTAGCTCGACCTCTTTAATAAATGCAGCAACACGTAAGATTGAAGGTATAACGGTATCAATTGCGCAAGTCCAGGTGGGTGGAGCTACAGGTGTTGTGAACATTGCATTCAGAAATAAACAACACTAGTTGTGAGTGGTGCATTTTGTAAGAGTTGTACTTTCTATTAGGCTTAAATAAGTTGAGCCTCTTGGCAACTTATGAGATTATGTTAATTCATATCTAGATCACATTTTGTATTCTTTAAGAATTTTTGAAAATGTAATACACGTGACTGAAAATGTGTCTGTTGTGACTAAACTCATACCCCCGTCTAGTTCCAGCAGAGTTACCTCTCTTAAATGCAAATAACTACATCGTTCGGTCATTGTCAAATTGACAGTCTAACACTGTTCTCTTGAAAAGTGTGCGATATGCATGCACAATTGGGAATGAAAATATGTTTATTTCCCTAAACTTCATCATTAAGGTCAATGGAAAAACAATTGTTACCGTGATACCTGAAAATTACCATTCACAGGTCGAAAATTACTATAAATTTCTTCGCTAGATGTCGCTCTAGAAGTCGCTTTCAACCACCAATGTGTAATTCAAAATATCTACTGCAAAACGTCGACACAGGAAATAGAGCTTAAAACCACCACTGTATAAATTCAACATATTAAATCTATAATCTCGAACTAGAAAATGGAACTTTGGATTAAAGTTGATCCAACATTTAATATTGGATTTCTCGATATACGGCATCGAAATTTTCATTTGCAAATTTCTCATTGGACAAGCTTTTGTCCATTATGGCGCCTCATACTCTTACGTAGTCCAATTTAATCGCGTCAGTATATTTCCGTGTTTAAAAGTAAAAACTGAAATTTTCAGGGAATACAATCAACTGGGATATACATATGATTTTTTTTTTTTTTGGTGGGGGAGGAAGGGGTCGAAACCAAGGAGAACAAGTTGCTGCTTGGGTCTTCTTTATTTGTATGAAGTATATGTCGTCATTACCGACAAACTTTACGTGATCGACGTGAATCGTAATATCAAATGAGCATAATTGAACCGTAAAAATTTGATAACAGTGAAATTTGAAGGAGATTGTACAGAGAGAGAGAGAGAGAGAGAGAGAGAGAGAGAGAGAGAGAGAGAGAGAGAGAGAGAGAGGTGCCCTTCATCAAGCAACACGAGATACTGAGAGAGAGAGAGAGAGAGAGAGAGAGAGAGAGAGAGAGAGAGAGAGAGAGAGAGAGAGAGAGAGAGAGAGAGAGAGAGAGAGAGAGAGGGTGCCCTTCATCAAGCCAAACGAGATACTTCGTGACTTAGGTTTGGCTTACCACACTTGATCTTGTTGGTGATGCATCAAAGAAAGCTTGGATCTTTATAAAGGAGCAAGGTATATATTTTGAATAACTTTGAATGAATCTTAGCATATTTATATATTTTTTATCTTGTAGACTGCACTTTTAAGTTTATAATAAAACCTTGATCAGGAGCAGGATTATTCCTTATTATAGGCTACTTCCGTGTCGAGAAATTAATACGACTTAAAACCTACGTAAAAATGAAACTATTTGCCGCTTACGACGCGAACAACAAAAAATCAGAAACAAAGACTAAGGAATGTAATCTTCTAGTGAATAATTATATGATAATGACAATGATATAACGAACAGCTAAAGAGTAATTACAATGATATAACGAACAGCTAAAATGTAATTACAATGATATAACGAACAGCTAAAGAGTAATTACAATGATATAATGAACAGCTAAAAAGTAATTACAATGATATAACGAACAGCTAAAGAGTAATTACAATGATATAACGAACAGCTAAAAAGTAATTACAATGATATAATGAATAGCTAAAGAGTAATTACAATGAATAGCTAAAGGCTAATTAAAATGATATAATGAGTAAGTGATTAGAATACAAATAAATTTAACTTCTTTGAGAGAGAGAGGGGGGAGTGAGATGCAAAGGGGAACAGTTATTGTTACACACAGGCGTCGCTAAGTGAGTGCCGCAGTGACATATGTAATTTGTTACACAGAAATCCGAAGGTAATAAAGGATATTTACAAAATCCGGTTGACGCTTATGCTCATTTGTACACTCTGGTGATGGTGTTGCTTTCAGTTTATTTGTTTTGTGAGTTTTTTGTTTCTTTTTTCTATTCTTAAACATGTCAAAAAAATTTCAAAACGTTTTACATAATTAATTATATATATATATATATATATATATATATATATATATATATATATATATATATATATATATATATATATATATATATATATATATATATATATATATATATATGCTGAAGTGAAATGTGCGAATTTAACTAGAGATATGTTCACTTCTTGCTGCTTATCATAATAATCTGCAAAAGAAGACTGATATTGTTATCTTCGGTTCGAAATTCAAAAATTTTCAATATGAAATGGTACCCTGTATCATCATGGTTACCGTTTACTGATTGCAATACACAGATCCGAACATGTCACATTACGTATGACAGAAAGCATGCAAGAAGAGGAAGAAAAAAAATGCAATGTCTCTATGGTATGTGTTTTTATTGTTTACTACAATGTGATTTTAAAGGTAAAATTTCCATTGAAGTTTCTGACTGTGTACATGGTGCAGCAATTTGCAATTTCACTTTTATTCATTAGCGAAATCTCGGAGGTATTGTGCCAGACATTTACAGGGCTTCCAGCACTTGCAGAATTCCATATTACACGTGGAATGTTAGGTTGAACATAACAGCAATTTGAAATTGATAGTAGAAAAGTAATGTAACGATGTAGACACATAATATGTGTTTAACCTTGCATTAGGTCATTTCATATTATACAGATACAAGTCAAGCTACGAGTTATCTTCAAACATCTATGACAAGCGCAATACGCGTAATTTGCTTCAGTATTGAACTGATTATTTACAGGATGATGAAATAACAGGCGAAATTGGATAGAAATCATGGGGTCAAAAATTGAAAACAGATTTTGGAAGAGTTCCAGTGTCTTAATGAGAAAGACTTGGACAGGTTCTCTACCATACATGAATTCTTGCGTCCTGCCTTGGTAGGGCAATAAGCTAGAAGAAGACAAGACAGTAAGGTGTTTGCTTTTATAACGAAATAGTGGAATCTGCTCCTCATACACGGATCGCTCCGGTGGCCTATGTGGTTAGTGCGTTCGCCTCGAATGCGCGACGCCGCGGATTCGAACCCCCTGCCGAGTCATACTAAAGACTTATAAAAATGGTTCTAGGCGTTCAGATTTAAGAGGTTAGTATCCAGCTTGGTGTCCGGATAATGTGATTGGATGGGACATGATGCAAGATGTCTACAGCATTATGCTCCAGTGTGCTAGACATCACTATAAACTGCCACACTGCAGACAACTTATCTATAATACCCAATAATTTTTTAAAGCTAAGTTAAAAATCCAAATTACACACACACACCCACACACACACCTCATACTCAAATTAATGTGTGTTGCATTGAAGATGTTTATGCAGATGTTATATGTCATATTTCTGTAGCATAGTTTCATTATTTTATTTTTTATTATAATATCATTAATGGGAGAACTGAAAGATGCAAATTGGGCATGCGCATAATAACTTGGAGGATCATCAATTGATTCATATTATGAAAGTACATGGCGTACAAAATATGTCGACTTTCCAACCCACAATAAAAAAATCTATCAGACCTCGTCCTGACCTCAATTACCTCTTTCATTCCTGATAATTAGCTCATTAGCCTCATATATTCCGCGTGATTCTTGGTTGGTAGTATTATTGTCACGGCAATAGATAATCATTCATATATATGTTATACGAAGTAAGTAATGACTGCATTTCATAATGAATTTTGTAATACGTACAATTGGTCTATCTCGGAAATCATCATTGCAACTGTGTCTGTTGTATCCACATTAATCACAGTTATAAATGTATAGAAACAATGTTCAAAACGTACTTTGACCTGATGATATATCAATTTCCCCCCCCCTAGTTTTCCAGGTCAATATTTGCCTTATTTACATTTATTTATGTATGATCATTTGTCAATGTATGTCGTTTCTCACCTCTAATTATTATTACATTCAGTTTTTGCGCATTCGTTATACTATTATTTGTGTTTTTCGCGATATACAGAAAAATCAATCAATCAACATGATCGGCATAGAGATCGCGTTATTAACCTGTATCCTTTCTATACAAATACATTTGTCACCCACACAAATCTGTACCCTTTCTATACAAATATATTTATCACTTACACAAACAGTCGAAGTCATATCTCCTTTGCTAAGTAAATTTTGATGGAATGAGATATGAAGCTAGCGCCTTTGCAACATTCAAATATATAAACAGTATGGTAAACAAGATGTTGAATTAAGCTGGGAAATCATGCAAACTTGTCTAACTTTCATAGTGTAAGAAAAAGTATTGCTTCAAAACTGATAATATCAGTTGTTTTTGGAATAATGACAACATTAGAAAACGAATTCGTACAAAACAAAAACTCAAACTGAAGCAAAACATACTGGCAGTAACAATCAATATAACAAAATGAAAACAGTTAAGAACTGATGTTAAAGAATTTTTAAAACAAAAATCACATAACTAGGTCAACAACATGATTGGAAACCTATCCTAAACTTAGAAAGCATCATTCAGCAGTTTTTTTAACCACTTCACTGACGTGGCTTCAGCAAGCAAATTGATACAGGTGTCAAAAATGAATAATATTACAGCTACTTGTTTAGTAGCTCCAAAGTTACTCCATTGTTTAAATATATCATATTTCTGTGGTCAGAATGATACACCTAAAAAACTATTATTTTCAGAGCTAAAGAGCTTCCACACCTTTTCAGTCAATCTTTGGACATTTGCATCATCGATATGGACTGGTCTCCAGCAAATATACACCCACTGTTTTTACACGGTGATCGCGCAATTGGCCAGTAGGAATCAGTACACAATTAATAAAATCCGGTTCAGTACCCACGAATGTAGTCCCAGTCTATTTTTAGATCACTTTTTCCTGTCAAAGTTTGATGGTGATACTAGAGTCAGATTTTGGCATTCTTGGTAAGGATTTAAAGGCAATTGTTTCTTCTTTAAAATGTGAGCTTATGGTGTGGTTGTCTGTGTGTATTTCGGCGACAGTGCATATTGAGTAATAAGGTCATGGTGATGATCTGGAAGTGAAATCTGTGTTCCGTTGCCTGGTGTTTTGTTTACAATTCAGCCTTTCAGAAAAATGCTGGTCAACCCTTGACAAGAACTAAACCGTAAAGTCATCTTTGAAGGTATTTTAGATTAACATATGACTTGTATTGATTGTCACACAGTGGAAAGTTCAGTACTGAGAAACAAATGTAGAGACAATGTAGTGAAATTAATTGTGTACTATGGCCTGGCAGTAAAAACTTGAAACTGATATAAAATTTTTATTATTAACGACATACACATGAAATTTTCATAGGTTATGTATAATGACTTTAAAAATATAAAAATGAAATTAAAAATAAAAAATAATTTTAATTTTAAAAATTTAAATGAAATTAAAAAAAAAAACAATTAAAAAATTAAAATTTTCCAACAAGTATACACATATATAATATTTATTTGGAATGATATGAAAATATATCAGCATATATATATATATATATATATATATATATATATATATATATATATATATATATATATATATATATATATATATATATATATATATATATATATATATATATATACTCCTACACCATATACAGGCTCAAATGATGGATATTTGTCAAATTTGATCAGAGAAAATATCTTTATTAGTCAAAATGAGACGATCATTTAAAATACATGAAGACAAAATTCTACTTTGCTTTGTATCTTTAGGTCATTGAAACTATTTATTTGGGGTCCAAACAGTTAATTTATGTGTTTATGATGTGGTGACTTCCTGAGTAACACCTATGTGCTTGTATAGCTATCAGTAATTGTTTATAAACATAGTTATAGGGTATTTAGTGAGAGGACAGAGATGAAGACTTTATACTAGAACCTTTTTAAGTTCTTTACAAAATCATATTAAGCTGTCAGAGAATTAAATACAGGTCAGAGGGGGTAAAATATACTTTACCCAGGTATATTTACCATTGCATGTAAGAAAACAGCAAAATGATGTAAGTTAAACACAGAATGCATTCCATTTTATTGTTCAGTTTCTTTAAGATATTGATTGATGTAGTGCGGCATTGTGCCCAGATGATATTGTGAGAATTCTCATGATCCATTTTGCTTTATGCATTATTAATGACTAATAATATTTGTTATTTGACACTTTAAAGATTACATAAGTAATATTCAAACAGATTATTTGAATTTAACTTTCTACAACTGATCCTAATATGGTTACATAGCTGACATGAACAAATATGCATATATTTTGTAATGTTTGGAATCAAAAGTTAGGCTGACATAGTACCTTTAGTGAATCTGTAATGCTCAGTTTTGACTGTGTGCACTTAAAATATCCCAAGATGTTATTTTCATCATGAATATGCCTCTGTATGGTAACACATTTCAATTTAGTACTTTTACAGAGGGCGGTATTGCAGCATCAGCTGATATCTGATTCCTTTGAATCATTGAACTTAATAACTTGGTAGCCAAGACTCTTAAAAATAGACTAAAAATGTTCAAACAGATTATTTGAATCATGATTGCATATGTGATGTTACCAAGTACATTGCATATGTCCCACACATGCAAATATCCATTCTTATTTACAAGTTTTCAGGATGAAAATTTCACATTTAGTTGATGATATAGGATCTATTGGTACCTATAGTTGATCTGTGTGGCCACATTTTGCTATATTCACTCGCAATATCTAAAATTGTTTTTCCTTCATGAATCGGATTGCATATAGTAATAAATTTTAATTTGGTATATTGTCATTTGACTTTCCACTATACTGGTATGTATCAATGTTTGCACCAATAATCAAACCTCACTGTTCCAACATTGCCTTAAACTTTATGATACATACTCTACCTGATTAGTTATTTAACCTGTAAATGGCTAAATGTGCTTGTAGAAACTTCATCTATATTTAGGATGCATTTGTCACTTTAATACATGCCCATTGCTTCACATCTTTGAGTGTCACTCTATCAAGTTTACCTTTTTTTAACCCTATTTGCAACCTGAATGTTATTTTGAAATCACCATTTCTAACACATTTTGACTTCATTTGCCTACATCTTTCTGTTTGTTTTAGAATTAAGTGAAACATGTTATATCTTTTCAGGTCTAGCCTGGTATCTGGAACAAAGTATTAGAGTTGTATCATTTTGGAAGCTCTTCAGTAGTCCAATGGTGATAGCAAGGTCTCATAAGGACATGTGCAGTCTGCTGCTATAAGTGACCAAGATGAGTTCATATCAGTACACTGATATACAGCATCTCAAAGACATGGCTTAGATCTTCATGACAGAGATTCACATCATTTTTCAGTAAGGTGGAACTTCCCTGAAACTGTATTTTCATACTGCATTGTTGACTTTTGTAGTTATCGGCATTAAAACGGAATGCATATTTGCTATAAAACATGGTAGTGGTCCCATCAAAACTTTAAATTTGAGTGGGCTATAAGTTATACAAACAACTGCCCAAGTACCTAAAACAATAAATGTGGAAGATAGCACCTGTCATTGTTTCTTTAGTATGTACACCTATATACATCTGGATAGGCATGTTGCAATTTGCTGTCAAAATCATTGTGAGCTATCATGCTTCAGTACCCCTGGGATTAATATTATCAGTTGTACAGACCTAAACTACCATTTGTTTTAAACACCATTCATTAATCAACTTTTCTGCCTTAAATTTGTCAAACTGAATGTCATAACTTGTATGAAAATTTAATTTGTGTAAAATAAATAGTTTTTAAAATTTATATATTTATTTAAATTTTCATTAAAATTTAATATATCAATATTTTTTAATTTCAAGAATATTTTCAGACAGGCCTTATCAAGTGTTACAATTAGGTTTTTACTGCATTGAAAAATGCCTATAATTAAGGAAGATATAGCAAATTTAGTTTTGGTTTCTTAAGAACAATTGGATCTCAAATTGCACCCTATAGAACACCAGCACTACACACTTTCTGATAGCTGTCACGTGTTTTGCTTGCAAGGAAATTTCAAAAGACTTTATGTA